GGTTTAGGAAAATTGTATATAGTACGGTTTGTTAATAAGCATATTTATTTTTGCCACATTAAAAAGATATACTAGGGGCCAGCAGGTGCCATGGAGGTTAAGGTGCTGAATCCCACATGGCTAACCCCACAGTCTGAGTCACTAATGGGGTTTGAAAATTATGCCAGGTACATGTGTGGGCATGCACAAAATACTGAAGAGATTTTGGGGTGGCCATGCTCCCTCCCAACCCCCCCCGGGGGGGTGCTTTCTCACATTGCCTCTCTCCTCCTCTCTCTGTCTCTCTCTAGCAAGCACATGTGCCCTATAGCAAATCTAAAAAAAGAAAAAAGGGGACCAGCAGTTAGTATAATGGCTATGTCACTGGACTCCATGTGGTGGCTTAAACTCAAGCCAGGCACATGTGTGTGCGTGCCCAAGATCCCAAGAGGATAATGGAGGAGAACGGATTGTGGCGTGGCCATCCCCCTAGGGGGAAGGGGATTTCACGCTTTCTGTCTCTCTGTCTCTCTCTGTTTTTCTGGCAAGCACACGCGCCCTGTAACAGAAACCTCTCAAAAAAAAAGAAAAAAAAAAAGAGAGAAAAGAAAAAAGGTATTATGCAGAATTGTAGAGTAAATAAAATATAGTATGTATATTCACACTCTTCTCATCTATAAAATCTGATACATAATAGTTTATAATGATCTATTTCATAGTTTTCTCTAAATAAGTGGTTAAAAAAAAAACTGTCATTAAAAATTATATAGGGGTTAGCTCCGTGGTCTGGTGACTAAAGAAGTTAGATCCCAAAAGTTGCACAGCATTGTTTGAATCCTGGCTCCAGCAGCTTGAAAACATGCCAGGCTTGTGTGTAAGGGTGCTCACAATGGAAGAGAAGGGATTGTGATGTGTTCACACTGGTGCAGGCGGGGGTTTTCTTTCTCTACCTCTCTCTGATGAGCAAACATGACCTCTGGCAAATTACAAAAGAAAAAAATTATATATAATAAATACTAAACAAAAATAATGGTATAAGATAATTTTGTTTGTGAAGTATATAAAATATCACTAGGTTAAAAAATACAGCTTTGGGAACCAGCAATTAGCTATGTCGCTGGAGTCCCACATAGTCGACCGCAGTTCGCGTCACGGACCCGGTGGCTTAAAACTCACGCCAGGCGCGTGTGCGTGCGTGTCCAAGATCCCGAGAGGAGAATGGAGGAGAAGGGATTGTGGCGTGACCATCCCCCCTGGGGGCTGATTTCTTGCTTTCTGTCTCTCTGTTTCTCTCTGTCTGTCTGGCGAGCGCACACACCCTATAGCGAAAACCTCTCCCCCCCAAAAAAAAAAAATACAGCTTTGTCCTGAAATGTAATGACTAATTGCACAAAAATTCTGTAAGACAAAAGCCTAAAAAGATAAAAATAATTATAAAAGAAGTTTACCCCAAACATTATTTGTCATGCCCAGTGTATACATTTAAATCTTCTTTATAGAAGGCATTCAAAAAATAATCATCAAACATTATACTAAAAATCAAATTAAAATTAAAATTTGATTTTTCTCCCTTTCTTAAAAATGACAAAATTTTCATTAACTTTTGGTTTGCTTTTAATAAAAGATTATAAAATACATTTTTCTTTGTCTTTTGTGTAATATACTTAAAAGATATATTCTGTATCTTATCGGAATATTTTCCTGTGCTTTATATTGCTACCATGTCCCTAATTATTAAAACACATAAGAAAACCCCAAAATCTGCTTACTGTTATACTAAAAATATAAAAATTCAACTATGGGTATTTATAAGAAAGACATTTAAGTCTAAATAATTAAGAAAGATTTATAATGAATATTAGCAGGGATATCATGCAAATGTGATATAATTGGATGAAAGAGTAGGTAATACCGCCATCAAATAAGGTGATACTGGTGCTAAAAAGCAGGAAGTACGCTACAGCTTAACAAATACAATGAGAAAAAGTATAGTTTATTATTAAAACAGAAATATATTCATATGTTCTAAAAAAATAGAACAAGTAACACATAAGACAAAAATTACCAAAAATAATAGAAGTATTGGATTAAAGACAATTGTAATGAAAGCCATAGTTGATGTAGCTTTTAATTTTGTTTCATTTTGATGTACAAAAGTTATATCTTGTGCTCAAATTCCTAATAATAAAAGGAGTATAAATTAACAATGAAATCTAATACCATACTCATCAGAATAAAAAAGTTAAAAAGAATGGTAATAATTTTTGTTGGAACAGATGCAGGCAAAATTTATTCTCATATATTGCCAGTAAAAATTTGGAATGCCCTAAGCTTTCTGCAGAAGAATCTGGTAACATCTATTATCATTTGTAAAATACATAGATATTTTGTATTATCATTTGTAAAATACATAGATATTTTGACCCATTACTTCCACAGTTCAGAATCTTTGTTACAGAAAGAAAAGCAAAAAAACTAATGATAGCATTAATTATCATGGAGAAAAAAAATGAGTTAAGTAAATAATCATTCCTATGGCACCAATCAATTGATTAAATTATGGTATAACCACACCATCTAGTATATTGATTGTTTCTCTGCTTCACTTATTTATTAATTCCATTCATTTCTATTTAGTGAATACTAAGTGTCAAACTTTATTTTAAGCTCTAGAAATACAGTGGTGAATAAAGACCTCTGACTTTACTGAGTTTACAATAGTCTAATGAGAAGAAAGGGAGAACAAAAAAGTAGATTGTCATTACTTTTGATAGAAATAAATCCTAAGAAGAAAATAATAAGAACAGAAAGGAGATGCAGAGCATATGTTCAAAGTTCCCAAGTTAAACCTGGAGTTAGAGAGGGACTCTTCCAGAGGGTGTGAAGATCTGAGGATTTGAGAGAGTCAGACATTTCTCATCTATGGATTTGTCATATTTATTCTAGTGAATAACTTCCTTTAGGAAACTTACTTCTAGTTGGTCCCTGACTCCTTCAAGTCATGTAAATAATTCTATGGCCCACTATTCCTTTACTTTGCAAAGATAATCAGCTCCAAAGCTCTTCTTATAATTAATCTACTATTTTAAGAGTTTCATGGAATTTCTTGAAAGAAAAAGCTAGAAAGGGAAATGATATTTATGAATGTGTACAATTAACCAGGCACTCTGCTGAGTGCTCTAAAAGATCCCCTTGTATCTATCTCAAAATCTGAGAGGGATCATTAGTCTGAACTCAACTCAAAGGAGAATCTGTGAGAAGCAATAAAAATATTTAAGTATGAAGATGGAGAGACATCTGTGGATATGACTTTTAAAAAAATTAATATGCAAAGGAATGGAAGAAACCTTTTCCCCCATTTCAGACATATTTTCTTCATAAATACAGGAGCATTATACATAACAATTTCAATGACATCAAAAAATAACAGCTAACTAAAATTTATAGTCAATACATTCAAAGATAAAACTAAGAAATTTTCCTATAAGGAAAATACTATAATTTCTTTCTGAAATTCATAAAAAATATAAGCATAATAAGCACAGTCATCTTTTTTTTTTTTTTTTTTGGAGGTTTTTGCTATAGGGCACATGTGCTCACCAGAAAGACAGAGAGAGACAGAGAGATAGAAAGCTAGAAATAATCCTTTAGCGGGTATGGCCATGCTGCAGTCCCTTCTCCTCTGTTCTCCTCTCTGAATCTTGGGCATATATGCACATGCACCCAGCGTGAGTTTAAGCTACCAGATCCAGGACTAAAACAGCGGTCAACTACATGGGAGTTCGGCCACATAGACATTACGCTAACTGCTGGTCCCAAGCACAGTCATCTTACATTCCAAGACAACTATTTTATATAAAGGTAATAGCTTAATTGCATTTCTTCTTTTTTTTTTTTCCAGGTAAAGTGATGTAACATTTTCCCCCATATTTTATTAGTTCACAAAAGATCTTAATTCATCTAAATACTTTCAATAGAAATACTTTCAATAGAAAGTGTAGCTTAACTCCAATTTTGTGTTAAATTCTTTACGGATACAAATGAGATTCATTGCAACCAAAGTTTAGAGTTGTAGAAAATTCCTCAATGAGTGGGTTTAGACAGTGGCTCAGCAGTGAAGTATAAAGCCCTGTGAGGCAGTCCCCTGTGGGATGGTTTCTGGTTCATGTACATAGTCCTCCCTGAGAATGCTGAACACTAGCTTGCCCACGATCCAGGTCTGCTGAAGGCCAAGGCTGGATAGCAGCATCAAGACTCTAAGGTGTGTATGCTCTTTTGCCTCCCTCTCTTTCTCCCTCCTTCCCTCCCTCCCTCTTTTCTTCCCTCTGTGTCTCTCTATTACTCATGGATGAAATAAATGACCATTTCCTTTAAATAGAGAAAATTCCACAGTAAGAAAAAGCAAGTAAGATATTTTAGGAAATGGAGATTGTAGACAATAGTGTTGTTTCATGACATGATTTTGTTAGGAGCTGTACACTGAGGCTAATTCATGTCAGCTAAGAAATGTGGCTCATAGGACCAGCAGATGGTGAAATGGTTAAACTGCTGGACTTCCACATGGCTGACCAGGGCTCAAGTCCCAGCCAGGAAGCCGATCATTAATGCCACAATTCCTTCTCCTCCATTTTCCTCTCTTGATTTTGGGTATGTACACACACACATGCCTGGCATGAGTTTCAAGCTGCCAGGTATGGGACCTGATCCATAGTTGGCCATGTGGGACTCAAGTGCCTTAACCACTACACCACCTGCTAGCCCCTCCTTTTCTTTCTATTCAACTCAGACTTAAATGGTCTCTGAGGAGGCATTCCCTTTCCCACTAATCATCGAGTTATTCAAACGCTTTATTTCCTTGCTAAATAATACAGGTGTGCTTGGGAGTAATAACAATGTTCTTATTTTTGTTCAGCATCTAAGTAAAGGATAAAAACTAAAATATGTGCTTTGTTCTAAGTGATTTAATAGAAATAAAATTTCACAGCAAAATTAGTAACAGTTATCAAATTTAGAAATCTTACTGCTTCTCTCCGGCCTCAGCAACGTTTTTGGCTTCTTGTTTTGGCTTCCACTCTCATGCAGAGCCTTGAACCAGTCCCGCAATCTGTTTGCCACTTCCCTGAACTCCAGGTCACTACATGCTAAAAACAAAGAGAAACTCTATTAATCTTTAATAATACCATAGCATAATGTCAATACTACTTCTTATATTATTTCCAATAACCTGACAGGTAACAACAACCAGAATAAAAAGGAATTATAGTGACTTATTTTATTTTTGCCTTTTTTTTTTTTTTCTTTTTTGGAGAGGTTTTTGCTAGAGGGCATGTGCGCTCGCCAGACAGACAGAGAGGGACAGAGAGACAGAAAGCGAGAAATCACCCTCCCAGGGGGGTTGGCCACGTCGCAAACCTTTCTCTTCCATTCTCCTCTCAGGATCCTGGGCACGCACGCACACGCGCCTGGCATGAGTTTAAGCCACCGGATCCGGGACTCGAACCTTGGTTGACTACGTGGGAGTCCAGCGACATAGCCACTACGCTAACTGCTGGTCCTATATTTTTGCTTTTTCAAGTCCAAAAATAAGTATGTGCTTCATGAATAACATAATGATCAAATTTAGCTTTTTAAAATTATTTATTTCTCAAGTGAGAGAGAGAGAGAGGGAGAGGAGGAGATTACTACCTACTGTGTCCTGACACCACAATCTACCAGCAGCCTTCAGCCAGCTCCACTGTCTGCCCAGTGTACTCAGGGAGGTCTCTGGACTTGAACTGGGAGCCTTTTCATGAAGGACTGCCTTGCAAAGCACCATGTTTTACTACTATGCCACCATCCAGCCCCACAGGAACATTTAGTTACTAAAGGATTATTACTGCTAGTATTTGATTTCCACTCCTCACCAGCATATTAGTTGGGGATTCTTATTGTTAACACCAACACAAAGTGAATCATATTATTAATGTGAGAAGTCACTTTTTCATGGCCAGGGAAAGGGTTATCTGAGAAAATAAAGGGCTAAAAATCCAAAATGAATAGTATGCCCTTATCATTGTCAACACCTATTAGAACTACAATGTCATGATTTGTAATTCTTCATCAGTAGGTCCAGTATATGTAGGAATTCACACTTATGAGTGGATGCTATTTCTATCTAGTTTAATCCAATAAAAGCAATTTCCTGAAAATTCATGGAAAAATAAATGTCAGAAAAAAACTATCCATGAAATTTGGAATATATTTTGCCCCAACAACATAAACTATAATTCTACTTTTCCACAAAGTTTTTGAATGCCCTTCATATAATGTGGTGTAACATAATTCAATTCAGACAAATTCCTAGCACAAAGGAAACAAAATCCTAGACTTGAAAGTCATTCTCAGTACCCAGTATAGTAATGACTCACATTAGCAAATCACTGTAAAACTTCAGAACATTGGAGACAAAAAGAAGTTCTATGTAGTTCCATGGGAAACGGTACTGTCATGAACAGAGGATAAAATGTTGGAATTCCTTCCAATTTTTCAATGACAACATCGAAAAGCAGGAGTGAGTGGGAAATTTTATATTTCTAAATAAGAATCCTGTATCCAGAACAATCCGGTTGGAGAGTAAGCTAAAGACATTTTTAAATATCTAAGATCTAAAAGACTCACCACTCATATAATCTTTTACCTGGAATCTACTGGATAATGTGATATACCACAGAGAAATCCAAGAAAGAGAAGAGCTGAGACACAAATAAAAATAAAAGATAGAAGACAGACGTGGAGGGAATTACTGGGAAGATGGCCTGGGGGATTTCAGAGTGCACACTGCATGCCAGGTGTAGAGGCAGATGGTAATAGGTCTAAAAATTCTTGGCCAGGGACAGAGCAATGCCTAGAATTCATCAACAGCCTTTCATCCAAGGAAAACAATAAGTTATAATGAAAGTCAATAAATCAACACTTTTACTGATTTTATCCATAGTGGCTGAGAATGAGTGATAAGGCAATAAATGGTTCGCTCCTGATAGGAATGGTTACATGCTAATCTGGTATCTCTGTTTAAACCAATATCTAGGCAGGGTCTTTGACTCCCCATACATGGGTATGCAGAGGAAAAGAAAAACCCACCGAAGAACTCTTCTACATGCTTATGTAAATACCACATATTTCTAGAAAGATGTAGATGAAGTCCATAACAACTACCTCCAGTTAGGGGAACTGAAAAAAATGGAAGGAAATGATTTGAAGAAACCTTATTTTTACCATTCGTCTCTGTTTTCCTTTTGAATTATATGTAATACACTTCCTTTCATTTATTAACATTAAAAAATAAACATTTACAAGCTATTTAAAATAATTAAAAGTCCATTTAACCCTTGACCTAGCAATTTTCTTTTTAAAAATTTATTAAGCAAATATTTATGTACATAAATGCATTAATTTAAATTGTGTAATATTATTTATTCAGCACTTTTTTTTTTAAGGGAGATTTTTGCTATAGGGCCCATGTACTCACTGGAGAGATGAAGAGAGACAGAAAGACAGAAAGAAAGACATCACTGTCCCTCCGGGGGCATAGCCACACTGCAATCCCTTCTCCTCCATTCTTCTCTAGGAATTTTGGGCACACATACATAAGCACCCTGCCAGGGGTCCAGTGTGGAGGGCCCCCGCCCTAACATGGATCCGAGAGCACCCAGACCTCTACATAAACAAGCCCATATTTGGTTATCGTTCCTGTTCCGGAACGCGTAGGCACTGCCTCAGCCTATCAGTGCTTGCCTGGTGGCAAAAGAGGACTGGTTCACGGGACGGATATATAGGGAGCCCGGGTGGGCTAGGAGGGAGAAGGCTGTGGAGGGAGAAGGTTGGGGAGAAAGAAGGAAGAAGAAGGCTGGGGAGAAAGAAGGAGGGAGAAGGAAGAAGACTGTAAGAAGCCTGGGGTAATAAAGCGTTCCGGAGAAGACCTTGTCAGCGTCGTCGTTTGAAGCGACAGTCCAGGACTTGAACTGTGGTTGACTATGTAGGAGTCTAGTGAAGTAACCATTATGCCATTTACTGGTCCCTATTCAGCACATTTTTATATAGCAAGTTGATTAGATATAAAACTCTATCCAAAGTGGCCTGTTAATCAAGTATATCCATCCAATGAAGTTCTATAAATTATTAATAAAGTTAGAAATGCATTGGGTACTGAAATGTAACTAAAACTAAAATATAGCTTTTGGTGAAAAAGGTAGAGAGCAGAAAAGTGTGTTTGATATACTTCCATTTTTATAAAAAGGGAAGAAAAAATGCTTTGCCTTATATAAATCTAATATGTCTCTAAAATTTACATAGATAGTGACACATTGTCATCTCTACAGTGACAACTGAGTCATGGCAAGGGATGCAAGGACACAGGACTCATTTCAGTATGTGCAAATTTATACTTTTAAGAGGTAAACCATGTTAGTGCATCACCCTGTATAAACAAATATTTAAAAAATGAATTTTGGTTAACTTTTTCTATCTTATGTTTTCTTCACAAACTACAGTGTTAACACAACTAGACCTACGTAGGAAAGGGGGTTCACATCCCAGAACCTCCCTAGCACTCAGGAAGTGCTCCCAGATGCCTGAGATTGGGGCAAACTGAGTCTGGGGAGGATCATGGTCTGAGGACCCCTTGGCGTATCTGTCTCTTTCTTTATCACTAAGTGAGTAAATAAATAAATAAGACTTAAAATGTCTTTATAAAAGTGTGACTGGCAAGTGGCCTGGTGGTTAAGGGTGCTGGACTCCCACAGAGCTGAGTGTGATTTGAGTCCTGGACCTGGTGGCTTTGCTTTCTCTCTCTGCTTCTCTCTCTCTCCCTCCTCTTCCCTCGCTCTCTTTTGTTCTGTCCCTCTCTAGTCAAATGAAAATAAATAAAGTTAAATAAAATAATTCTTTAAAGAAAGAATAAAAGAGAAGAATCTTGTGATAATTGTAATAATAGTGATAAAAGCAGTTAACAGTGCATATTTACTGTTATAACTACCTTTTGCACAGTAATAGAGTTAATTCTCATAAAAACTCTACGAGGTATATATCACTATCATTTCCACTTAAAAATATTAGGAAACTGAGACTTAGAGAACTGAAGAATTTGCTTGAGGTCAGACAGATGAACAACAGAGCTGAGTTTTCAATCCAGAAAGACTTCAGAATCCAAAGTGTTAATCACTACAACAAACCACCTCTGTTTTTCTCAAAAGAAATGAACGAAAGTAGCAAACGCCACTGTACAATGAACAAGTCAAGCATTGCTCCCCTTAAAGTTTTTTAAACTTCCATTTTAGTAATTCATGATTAGAAATATGAGATGATCGTCACTACAGAGATGTTCAATATTAGCAAAACACATCTCTAGAGGACAAAACTTGTTTTTTTTAATTGTCAGAGGGTGCATGAGTTGGTTAGACAGAGACATAAAAAGAGAGAGGGAGAAGTCACTCCTCCATAGGATGTGGTCCTTCATCCCTTCTCTGTCATTTCTCCATCTGGTCCACATTTGGGCTACAGGCACACACATTATGAATGTTTTCAAGCGATTGCTTCAGGGACTGTGATCAGTCATGAATGATCTGGCTCCCAATGCACAGCACGTAACCTCCGTGCAAGGAGCTGGCTCAACTGTGCATTGTCCTTGGAAGAATTTCATAAGGTTTTAAAAAACAACAATAAAACATTTCTTTCATGAGAGAATGAGAGAGGGAGGAAGCCCCAGTAGGGTCTTGCCATGTCATGATACAACCCTAGCCTTCCAGCTGCCAGCCGGAATATACGACTTGCAGTCTCACTGAGTATGTTTAGGTCAACCCAGGATCCAACCCCAGACCTTCCCACTCAGTCTCCAGCACTGAGCAAGAGTATCCTATCGCCTATGACACTATGGTTGGACCAGAATTTTATAGGTTTTCTTTTAACAGTACGGTTAGCAAACTGACTCTATCCCTGTTAAGCTTGATTTATAGTTTTCTGAAGCTTTTCTTGGATCATCATTCATTTTTTCTAAATGGTAGAAAATAATTATCTTATGCAATGAATGACGAATCAAAGTAGGATAGGAATGTAATGATTTAAACAAACTCAATGAAATTGAATTTGCATTCCATAAAATACTGAA